ACTTGCGCTATATTGATGACATCTTCATCATCTGGACCCATGGAAAAGAAGCCCTTGAGGAATTCCACCATGATTTCACAATTTCCATCCCACCACCAAACTCAGCCTGGACCAGTCCACACAAGAGATCCACTTCCTGGACACTACAGTGCTAATAAACAATGGCCACATAAACACCACCCTATACCGGAAACCTACTGACCGGCTATTCCTACCTGCATGCCTCCAGCTTTCACCCTGACCACACCACACGATCCATCGTCTACAGCCAAGCTCTGCGATACAACCGCATTTGCTCCAACCCCTCAGACAGAGACAAACACCTACAAGATCTCTGTCAAGCTTTCTTACAACTACAATACCCACCTGCAGAAGTAAAGAAACAGATTGATAGAGCCAGAAGAGTTCCCAGAAGTTACCTACTACAGGACAGGCCTAACAAAGAAAATAACAGAACGCCACTAGCGGTCACCTTCAGCCCCCAACTAAAACCCCTCCAACGCATTATTAAGGATCTTCAACCTATCCTAAAGGATGACCCAACACTCTCACAAGTCTTGGGAGACAGGCCAGTCCTTGCCTACAGACAGCCCCGCAACCTGAAGCAAATACTCACCAACAACCACATACCACACAACAGAACCACTAACCCAGGAACTTATCCTTGCAACAAAGCCCGTTGCCAATTGTGCCCACATATCTATTCAGGGGACACCATCACAGGGCCTAATAACATCAGCCACACTATCAGAGGCTCGTTCACCTGCACATCCACCAATGTGATATATGCCATCATGTGCCAGCAATGCCCCTCTGCCATGTACATTGGTCAAACTGGACAGTCTCTACGTAAAAGAATAAATGGACACAAATCAGATGTCAAGAATTATAACATTCATAAACCAGTCGGAGAACACTTCAATCTCTCTGGTCACGCAATCACAGACATGAAGGTCGCTATCTTAAAACAAAAAAACTTCAAATCCAGACTCCAGCGAGAAACTGCTGAATTGGAATTCATTTGCAAATTGGATACTATTAATTTAGGCTTAAATAGAGACTGGGAGTGGCTAAGTCATTATGCAAGGTAGCCTGTTTCCTCTTGTTTTTTTCTACCCCCCCCCCCCCCCCCCAGATGTTCTGGTTTAACTTGGATTTAAACTTGGAGAGTGGTCAGTTTAGATGAGCTATTACCAGCAGGAGAGTGAGTTTGTGTGTGTATGGGGGTGGGGGGGATGTGAGAAAACCTGGATCTATGCAGGAAATAGCCCGACTTGATTATGTAAAGAGTTGTCACTTTGGATGGGCTAGCACCAGCAGGAGAGTGAATTTGTGTGGGGGGGTGGAGGGTGAGAAAACCTGGATTTGTGCTGGAAATGGCCCACCTGTTGATCACTTTAGATAAGCTATTACCAGCAGGACAGTGGGGTGGGAGGAGGTATTGTTTTATATTCTCTGTGTGTATATAAAGTCTGCTGCAGTTTCCACGGTATACATCTGATGAAGTGAGTTGTAGCTCACGAAAGCTCATGCTCAAATAAATTGGTTAGTCTCTAAGGTGCCACAAGTCCTCCTTTTCTTTTTAAGTTAGAATAATGATTCACAGTTACCATTGAATAGCACATCATTATTACAGATAAAGGTATATGTTTTAATAACTAATTACTTCTCAGTTACTAAGGCTGTCTCTAGATGATTTGAATACTAACTTCATCTTTTCAGTAATCCCCTCCCCCTACCCTCCTCTTCCATCTCATTGATAAACCACAAGTGCAATCCGATCCCCCTCAAGTGGTCAGATATCTCCTTCTGTAATCCCATCCCTCTGAAGTGATCAGATCCTCTAATCCTTCCTTATGCTGGACCGTGTTAAGTAATTATTAATATGCAGGCGCTACAGTTCGTTGTCTGAACTAATTTATTTATCCCATTCCCACCATTTTCCAAAATGCTAAAATTCTTGAGAATGCCACTGTATTTTACTCTTTGTTACAATTTGCTGCAGGTTTGTCATGCTTGAGAAGATTTAATTTTGACTGTTGGAAATGTGTGCTAAATAGGGGTTATTTGTCTCAGAATTCCCTGAGTCAATTAACCAAAAGTTTCTTGAGATGGCACTTTTAGTACCATATGGATTTTTCAAATGAGTAGTAATTAAAAAACCTGTATGGTTCTAAAACTGCCATGTCTATTCACAAGATGAAAGCTCTTAGATGTAATAATTACTTGCACCAAGATATGTCTCAAATTATCTTGATTTCATTTCAGCCAGGATCCAGCTGCTGACAGTTAAGACACACAGCTGGAGTAGCTGGCTGCTTTCAAGCTGCTGCTGGATCAGTCTGAAAAGGAGATTTCAAACTATGATGAATAAAACAGTATGTTTCTCCTGTTGAAAAAACACTTAGCAAATCGTAGAGTATCCCCAGAGAGAAGAACCCATGCTAAACATATAGTTATTTATAAGGGACTGGGTTGACAGTTTGGTCCTGCCTATATGCAAGGACAAATCTATGCTAACACCCGGTTAAAAACATAGTTTAGTTCAGAAAGGTTTTTCTCTGTGTGTTATAGCCTCTTCCTCTAAGGATTAGGATTTCATTTGTGTACTGTGTGACAGCACTCATCTAACCTGTGAAACTGATCCCATTAAGTTTGGTTGCTTAATACCTGACTAACTGGTGGGAACCAAATTGTTGTAACTAGGTTAAAAAAAAAGTTCTAGACTTTTTTTTAATAAACAATTTGGGTCTATATACATTGGCAAGACCAATATGTTATACATTCATGCTTAAACATGCTGTTTCGCAGGCCCAGCAATGCATTCAGGTTGGACTCTCTTCCATCAGCACATGACAGAGGGCAAACAATTCTGCAAATACATGCCTAACTTTAAGTAGGAGTAGTGTCACTGAAGTCAATTAAGTCAACAGAGCTACTCACATGCATAAAGTTAAGAAGGTGTATAAACATGTACTGGATTGGGACCTTATTCAACAAATTTTGATCCTTTTTCATGAGTTGACTGCAAAAGATTAGCATTTTCTTGAATTTATTTGTAATTTGAAGTCAAATCATTTCTGTCAATAACCCTGACCCACAGCTTGCTCAAAAACAGTTGCAAGATTTTGATACAGTATTCAGAATTCAAGTTATGGACACACAAGTTGCATGTTGTGTTTCTGTTTCTTGTTTGGAGGAGGACAAAATTTGCTTTCTGCAATATTCCCTTAAATTATGTTTGTCAGAACTTGATTTTTTGTGTAACTGACGGATATTATCAATTTTTATTTTTAAGAATTTTTTCTTTATCTACTTAAATTTTCACAGTTGCACAAAATTGTAGGTTTTAAACATTTCTTTTTCAATTTTTATTTATTTAAATTTTCACAGCTGTAAGCAGTTATAGGGGAATCAGAAAATTATTTAATGACAGTAGACCTTGAGATTCAAAAAGTTAAAGCTTTATAACCATTAAAATACAAGCTGTCAACCTTATGTCAAAATATACAAAGTAAATGTCCTTAAATCAAACTCTAATAAGTTCTCAAGCAGCATTTTTTGTACTTTGCTTATCTGTAAATTTTGATTATCAATGATGGAAATATTTTTAATCAGTTTGTGTGTACAGGGAAATCAACATTTACCAATAAGAGTCTAATCCTTTCAAGCCTACTTATAATGTGCTCTTTTGGTAAAGGTTCCTGATAATAAATTCACCTGTAGAAAGCATAAACACACAGTTGAAGGTTTCAGAGTGGTAACCGTGTTAGTCTGTATCACCAAAAATAATGAGGAGTCCTTGTGGCACCTTAGAGACTAACAAATTGATTTGGGCATAAGCTTTCGTGGGCTAGAACCCACTTCATCAGATGCATGGAGTGAAAATACAGGAGCAGGTATAAATACATAAAAGGATGGGGGTTGATTTACCAAGTGTGAGGTCAGTCTAACGAGATAAATCAATTAACAACAGGATACCAAGAAAGGAAAAATAACTTTTGAAGTGGTAAGAGAGTGGCCCATTACAAGAAGTTTACAAGTTGACAAGAACGTGTGAGTAATTTGAAAGATTATTTGTGGAAAGTCTTTTTATCTTGACAGGTTTCAGCATAGCAGCCGTGTTAGTCTGTATTCGCAAAAAGAAAAGGAGTACTTGTGGCACCTTAGAGACTAACCAATTTATTTCAGCATAAGCTTTTGTGAGCTACAGCATCTGATGAAGTGAGCTGTAGCTCACAAAAGCTTATGCTCAAATAAATTTCTTAGTCTCTAAGGTGCCACAACTACTCCTTTTCTTTTTATCTTGTGTCACAGAACTATACCTTGCTTTAAAATTTATTTTTGAGACCATAACTCCCCTATGAGTGTGAGACTAGGATGACATGGAGATAAGAAAGGTAAGAAAGGCCTTGAACAACAGAGAAAACTGCAGTAAATTTAACACCCGTGTATGGAAGAACCTATAACTGCGTGGGTGAGCCTGTGGTTGACTAGGTCTGTTGGGGAACCTGTAGCTGAGAGGCAGGAGGTCTTTTCTTGCGTGTTGCTGGTTGGCAGCATCGGTGGGGCTTGGTGTCTAGGTATAGCTGTGTGTGTGTGCGGGGGGCTGTAGTTACGTATTGCTGGGTGTTGCCGTGCGTATGTGTCTGGGATCTGAGTGCTACCTGGCACGGGGGTCTGGGGGCTGCCGGGTGTGTACGGCAGACAGTCAGGAGGCTGAGGGAGCGTGTGGTGGAGCTGGGTGCTGAGGGGTGTGTATGGGGCCTGGCGCGTAAGGAGTGGGGGCTGGGGGCTTTAGGCCGGTGGGTTTGGAGGCTGCAGGGTATGGCGGGGATCCAGGAGCTGCAGGGGGTCTAGGCACTGCGGGAGAAGGGGCAGTGCTCTGTGAAGGGCAGCGGTAGGTCCGCGGACCTTACAGCAGTTACGCCCCACTCACCCGGTTATGGCGGCGGTCCCGGAACCTAGATTGGCCTCTCGCTCCACCCCGTTGCCGTGACTACATTTCCCAGAAGGCTGTAGGTGGTGCAGTGACGTCAGCGGAAATAGAACACGCGTTCCTTCCGGTTGTGCGTGAGTGCCGAGCGGAGCCGAGACCCAGCGGAGCCTGAATCCCGATAAGACAAGATGGCCGGGCTGCCCCGCAGGATCATCAAGGTAACTACCACCCCCCTCCCCCACTCGGCCCGTCTTTCCCGGCCCCCCTCAGGCCGCCATCCCCCTGTGCCGGGGCGCAGAGCGCGGAGTTTCCGGTGAGCGGGGCTGGGTAGAGCGCGGGGAGCCGGGTTCGGCCGCTCCGTTGACCAGGGGAGCCACGGGCAGGCCCCGCCGGGCTGGGAGCGGCGCGGGAGCGGGTGGGGCCCGTGCCTGTGGAACCATTTGCCCCCCCTCCCACCTCCGGGCTGTGTGAGCGAGCACGGTGCCGCTGGAGGCCCCATGCGGCGGCCAGAGGAGCGGCTGCGGGGCTCGGGCGGAGTCTTGGCGCCGCCGACGCGGCGCGGGGAATGAATGAACAGATGAGGCCGCGGCCTGTGCGCCACCTCTGGGCCCCCTGTCTCTTGGCCCCGGGAGCGGCGTGAGCCGCGAGCACCGCATCCGTCCGCCGCGGCGTGGCTCCCCCTGCCCGCCCCACCCCGGCCTCGGTGCCTGTGAGCCCCCTCGTGGGAGGAGACGCTCAGCAACTGCGCAGAGCGCCCCGGGCTTCTCAGCGGGGCAGGGCCCGGGAGTGGATTTCACAGGGGGCTGCGCCTTCTGTGACAGCGGCAACGAGGAAAACGCGGTATCGGGCTGAATGAAACTGAATGTGCTTCCGTGCGTCGGGCACCAACATCCTGCTCCCACCCGGGTTTTCCAAGGAAAGATTGTGACACTCACACGCCACTGAAACCCATCTTCAGCCTTGCAATTAGGGCTTCCTAGTTTGCGCTAATGACGATTTGTTAATCTCTTGATGACTCAGGACTGACTGTCTGAGGAAGTAAGGTTACACCAATTAGGAATTGTTAACGTGTTGTGACTGTTTACAGTATCTGTGAAGTATGTGTTTTGCTTGAATTTTAACTTTAAAATGTTTTATTAAATAACTCCAGCAAATTAGCTGTTTCTGCATCTTTAACACTTAGAGTAGGTCTGAAATTATTTTCATTGTAGATGCTTCTTCCTAAGTGGATAGTAACTTGTATGTAGTGAGCAAGATAATTCTAAAAAGACTTTTTCTATGCATCTAGTGTAGTAAACAAGAATTCAGACTAATCTTTAAAGTGTATATTACATTAAATGTCAGAACAATGAAGACCTCTTGAATTCTGGATATTTGGTGGTGTGTACATAAAATTGTATATGGAATAAGGGCTTAAATATTTTTGGATATTGTAAGTAGAGTTCTTTCAGTAGCATTTGTATAAACCAAGCAGTGTGTTAATGATATCTGTCTTGTAACAATACATTCATGCAGTGCAATGTGAATCCAACAAATTTCTTGGCTCACACTAATATGATGTTTGCTAAAATAATGTAATAATATGATTACTTCAGAACTACTCTAGTTAGTTCAAACCCCTGAGTGCTCTAACTGAATCTGGTAAAACTTCTTTGGTATCAACTTATATAAATGTTACAACAGATGGAAGTGAAATCACACAACACAAATTCACGAATGCAGCATAATATTGACCTGATATGGATCTGTCGCCTCTTGTTAGTACAACATAAATATCCTTCTTACTACCTGCATCTACAACTCCAACTTTTAAGAAGTGATGTGATGACTAGTTCTATAAAAGTAACTTATCTTATTCAAGTAAGGTCCATTAGGTTTGATGGGCAGTAACACTCTTGTTTCCTGTTAAATTGAATGAATGTTATACAAATAATTTATAATGCTGTGAAGCTGTTCTTGGCTGAACACACTGAAAGTTTGCAACTAATGCAAACAGCAAAGAACAGGAAAATGTGCAAGTTAGTTTGTCTTAAAATGAAAAGTTGCATAATAAATGGCTGGGATAATGAAATTAGAATAGAAAAACAAATTGCAGTAAAACTATGCAAGGGTATTATTAAGACTAAAGTTTATTACCAGTTTCTTAATGTTTACAAGCCATGTTAAGAATTTAAGGTCAAAACTGTATTAATTGATTTGTCACTCCATTCAGCTATCTCAATGAACAGTAAACACTGGAAATGTTACTGAAATATGTAAGGGTAGACTACTTAGTATTACAACATGTAGTGGAGACAAGATTATTGGGGCTGAAAAAAATCAATGATTTTAATCTAAATTGGATTTTAATTTAAATATGTAAATCTGTTTAAAATTAAATTTGAAATTGACAACCTGTTAAGGCCTAAATTTATAATCTAGTACAATCATATAAATTAAAAAAAAAAGTACATATTTGCTACCATGTTTTAAAGAAAGTTTTAATCAATGAACTGGTGGAAGTTACTGGCAGAGCATCTAGAACTGGAATTTGTTGAATGCTAAATCAGCTTTTGACAGCAATAGCCTCTTCTGCAGGTGTAGAGAAAATTTTCTTCACGTCTGTTTGTTCAATTTAATTAAATGACTAGTTCATTCAAAGTTAAACAACTAATTGAGAGTTGAGAAAGCAAGGAAGCTACTTTTTTTCTCTTCCAATATGTGAATAAATACTAGGTGTGAGAAGATGAAATATATACTAGATCTAAAATCTTGAAGGAGATGGAAACCAGAAATAATTGGTTCAATTCACTAACTCCAGTTAAACTGATTTAAGAGTATTATATGCAAAACATGTTTTTAAAAAGTTAATTTTATTTAATCCAGAAAAGTTCTCACCTAAATATATAAAATATTTTTGTTCCTTTTTAATTGTATTTGGGTGAAAATTCAAATTCAAAGCTAGACTCATCACAAATGAAATAATAATCCTCTAGTAAATAAGAAATGTAATATGCACCATTCTCAAACAATAAAACATAGAAAAAATAAGAACCTGAATAAATGTAAATTAAGCTATATAAATTGCTTAAATAGACGTGTAGTATGGTGTATCCTCCTGGTTAACAAAAAGAAGAATAAAAATTAGTGTAAAGGATTTATTTAATTGTAAATCAACATGTTTTAATTCTTACCAACCAGTGAGAATCAAGATTTTCTTTAGGAAAAAACTAAAGTACAAATACAAAACACAATTAAAATTGAAGATTTAAATAACTGTCCTGCTTGCTGATTAAAATCCATGATTTAAATTGCTTTGGTTTAAATAAGCCCACGCTGTTTGTTATGGAGATGCAGCAAATGCTCTATAGGTAAGATGAATCTCCCATTATGTTTTAGGTGGCTTTAGATTCTCCTCCTTATCGTCACCAAAAATTAATGAAACTACCTCTGAGTTGGTAACAGGTTCCTCTCCCTGAGTTTTTTGCTTTCTTTTCATGAGAACTTTGAAGCAAATAACACAATTTATTTCCAAGGTATGGATGGAAGTGTGACATCTAGAAGAGTATCCCAATCCTTTTTTGTCCCTTGCAGCTTAAAACTAGACACTCAATATTTGTGTTGTTTTTGGGGATGCTGTTTGATCTTTTGGAGAGTGCTGATTATTAAGAGGATAATATGTGCTTTAGGTTAAATATATAGATGAATGTATTATGATGCCTCCATAGACTCCAGAGCTTTTGAATTTTGGATTGGTCATTGTGGATTGTAGTGGTCCATTTTGTAATGTCCATACTGTGCCTTGAAATAGGGGTGTCAGACATACAGCCTTTGGGTCACATTTGGCCTACGTGGCAAAGATTGTCCAGAGTCTGAGTTTATTTGTCTAAATGAAAGTTTCTAGCCACCGTGGCTGCAGAGAGCGATCCTTCCCAATCTAAACTGGTTATGTCTGAAACAAATAGCTATGGTGAATTCCAAAAGCCAGTGATACTTGAATGTCAACATCAGATATTTGATTGCTGATCGTTTTAATGGCATAGGAAAGGGAGTGGGAGTGAAGTCCTTGGTGGTTGGATTTGGAGCTGTGGGGAAGCAAATGCAGAGAAAAATAGAGGAAAGACAGGTCAAAGGGAGAGAAACAGAGAAGGTTGGAAAGAGTGGTGGCCTAAAGGAGAACATTTTTTTTTTACTGAATCTGAGTGTATGAATAAATAAAAGTTTAGTTACTAAATAAAGACTCTGTTCTCCCCTTGATATCTTTGCAAGCCTTCCACTGATAGCTGTGGATTGAGGAGAGTATGAAGTTCTAAATATATGTTCTGGCCGATGGGCCATGTGGAATCCAGCCCCCTCTCTTCTGCAGGGGATTGACATTCCTCTTCTTGTTGGTCTGCTGTTGGCAAAGGACTTGCTGTTCCTGGTCTTCTGGTTGGCCAGGGCAAGGTCTCAGTACTCTTCAGTTTGCTGCTTCATGTTTTTGTACAGGCTGGGTCTCCTCCAGGAGGAGGGAAACCTGCCCCATCCCTCCTCAGTAGAGGACTCTGCATGTATGTGGGACTACTTGCTTCTCCAGTAAAGGATTTTGGAGGGTAGCATAAAGTTATTTAATGGCACTACTGCCAAGCATTAATGTATTATAGGGCGTAAAATTTAGTTGATTTGGTGTGTGGGTGTTCATCAGGATTAATTAATTGGGAGCACTGAGTTCAGGCAGCAGGAGAGACTAGGCTGTTTGGGCCTACACAATGGGGGTGGGAGACAAGGCTGGATGGGGTGTAGCTTGAGGCTAGTGGCTGGTGTATTTCAGCTGGGTTGGTAATTTTTTCAAGTCCTGAGCCTAAGACATTGTTTGTTAGAGAAACTTGCACCAGAATAGCTACATTGATGCAGTGTTTTCTGCATTGGGGACTTCATTAATGTAAATGGCACATCAGTGTGATTTTTTTTTTTTTAATTCAGTGAATTTCATTGGAGTAGTGCATCTGCATTAGAGAAATTTGCACCAGTGTAACTACATCAGTGTAACAGGTTTCAGAGGAACAGCCGTGTTAGTCTGTATTCGCAAAAAGAAAAGGAGTACTTGTGGCACCTTAGAGACTAACCAATTTATTTGAGCATGAGCTTTCGTGAGCTACAGCTCACTTCATCAGATGTATACCGTGGAAACTGCAGCAGACATCAGTGTAATTATACCAGTGCAACCCATCCCCAGCGTAGACAGGAACTCAGCTTCATT